GGTCCACAGGACTTTGCACCCACTGACTTGTGATCTTCCTGCACTCTGCATCATTGCATGTGATGGTGTGAGTCTGAAGAGGGACTTATGGACTAGTATCGGACTTATGGACTTGATCTGGACTGGGCTGGGATGTCTACTTGACATAAAATTACTTCTTGATACCGAGCTCTCTCTGACACATATGTGAGTGTCGTTAGATTTGTTTCTTTAGTCAACCTGGGCTAACACAGTTACCATCACCAAAAACCTTCTCTGTCATAAGGCACACGAGACAAACACAAACCCAAGCATTTAAAAAAATGAATATCTTAAGTTTTGGGGGGAAAAAAATCACTAGATGGTCTGTTCTTTGTTCCTTCCCTTCTTGCAGTGAATTGGTGCAACTTCTGGCATTTGGGAATACTTGCTGTAGATAGTGTTGCTATTAGGTGCTGTCCCATGGCTTCCAACTCACAGTGACCCTACGTACAACAGAACAAAACACTGCCGACTGCACCATCCTTACAACGGTTAGGTGTGAATCCATTGGTGGAGCCACTGTGTCGATGCATCTTGTGAGGGCCTTCCTTCACTTTCGCTGCCCCTCTACTTTCCCAAGCACGGTGTCCTTCTCTGGGGACTGGCCTCTCCTGACATGTCCAAAGTACACGAAAGGAAGAAGTCCTATCCGTTTTGCCGCTAAGGAGCATTCAGCTGTACTTCTTCCAAGATAGATTTGTTTGTGCTTTTGGCAGTCCATGGTACTTTCAACATCCTTCACCAGCACCATACTTCAAATCTATCAATACTTTGTCAGTCGTCCTTATTCAAAGTTCAACTTTCACATGCATAAGAGGCAATTGAAAATCTCCTGGCTTAGGTCAGACACAGCTGAGTCCTCAAGGTAACTTCCTTGCTTGTCAACACTTTAAAGAGGTCTCGTCTTGTGCAGTAGATTTACCTAGTGCAGTACACTGTTTGATCTCTTGACTGCTCCTTCCAGGAGCGTTGATTGTAGATCCAAGCAAGGCAAAATATTTGACTTTAATATTTTCTCCATTGATCATGATGTTACTTACTATTGTTCATGTTGTGAGGATTTTGGTTTTCTTTCTTCAGTACAGTAAAGGCTGCAATCCACGATCTTCATCAGCAAGTGCTTCGAGTCCTCTCACTTTCAGCAAGCAACATGTGTCATCTGCACATCACAGGTTGTTAATAAGCTTTCCTCTAATCCTGATGGTACATTCTTCTTTATATAATACAGTTTCTTGAATTATTCATTCAAGATACATCTTGAATAAGTATAGTGACAGGATGCAACTCTGATGCACACTTGTCCTGACTTTAAGCCATTTAGCATTTGCCTGTTCTGTTTACACATCTGCCTTTTGACCCTATCTATGTACAGGTTCCCCATGTGCTCAACAGGCTGTTCTGTAGATAATAGAAGGATTTGTATTTCAAGAACACTCCTGGTACCTGTGTAGATGGAAAAAAGATTGAATTTCACCGAAACTCACTGGTATGGAGTCAATTCTGACTCATAGTGACCCTGTAGGGCAGAGTAGAAGTGTCCTGCCCGGTTTCTGAAACATTAAGTGGCTATAGGAGCAGACAGCTTCAGCTTTCTCCCACTAAGGGGCAGGTGCTTTTGAGTCGTTGACCTTGCTCCCAGTCCAGCGTTTGCTTACCCGACAGTTCCAGCAGTGCTGATAAGACTAGCTACCTGAAAGTCTGCTCTGGCTCATGGTGAGACTGTTAGATCTCTCTGGAGCTAGATTTATACCTCGGTCCTTGGCTCCGCGCGAGAAAGAATTCACGCCGAAGCCTGGTTCGTGATCGAAGTGAGTTTATGAGCGTTAGAAGAAGTTTCAGGTTTACACGGCACCCAAGGGGCTCCTCCCGGACACGCGGCTTAGCTGGAAGCGGCTCTGCGTCCCGCAACGCGTGCCAAAGCTCTCTACGCTGAAGTTCTCTCCCCTCTGTCTCTGTTCTCCTCCCGTCTCGGTTCTTGTCCTTCTCTCTAAGATCTCCTCCCCTCCGGGCTTCTGCCTTTTCAAGGATTCCACAGGGAGGCGTGGTGGAAGACCCCTGATCGACCCCATTGGCTGAATTGAATTTACCTGGCTAGGTGATCCAATTCAAGTTCACGCCCACCCTTGCCTACTGGCGGGAACCCTGAGCATGTGCGCTGTGCCACTCCTTTGTTCCCCTAGCTTGGCCCTCTGGGCACGTGTTAATGGACATCTCCCAGCCCTATGCTGGCCTACCTAACAAGACCCCCTCCCCGCCCCCCCGCCCCCTACGCCCACCCCACTGTAACAAAATGCTGTCAGGTCCTGTGTGACCCCCATGATTGTGGCTTGGACAGTTTGTGGTTCCCCAGCTTTTCACTGGCTAGTTTTTGGAAGTAGATTGCTAGGACTTTCTTCCTGGTCTGCTTTAGTTTGGAATCTCCCCTGAGACACATTCAGGCTAATTAGAATAGGCAGCCTTCAATGACCTAAGGTGGGATTTCAACATGAGGTACATTAGCCAGAATGGAAACTGAGTCCCCCACATGACAATTCTTTAGCATAACACTGAAGGACACACCACTAGGAGGGTTTAATTGGAGTAAAAATAATAATATAGTAGTAATTTGTAAGCGTGTTAGACACATGGTATTCTGTTCCTCAACAAAGAGATAGGACTGCTTTTTCAAAAAATAGCCAATTGATTTTGGTCAAACAATGCGGCCCTGGAGACCAGCACACTGGCCTCCCCTCTTCAGATTCTTCACTTGCAAAAAGGGGACAAAGATGTGCATGCTACTGGATTGGGGGAGTGTTTAATCAATGAGTGAATATTATAAAGAAGGGCCTCAACATGCGTTCCCTATCATTATCTTGCTTCGGATCCATTCCGTGCTGGGTACACAGAGAAGACTAAACCTCATTCTCGCTACCTGAGTGATTCTCTAACGCGGACTCTGGAGACTTGGAAACTTCGTACTTAGGTGTGAGGTGATCTGCCAATAAAACGATGTTCATTAAAACAAACCAACAAAAACATATCCCGAAACTATAAATCCCTGCTTTCTTTGTCGACGGCAACGGATCACGGGGTGGACCAAGCGTCCGGAAGCCTGTGCCGCTCGGCCAATCACGTCGGGAGAACGTCCTCCTAGCGCCACATTGGCCAATCCCGGGCCAGCCTTGCTCGCGCTGGGGCGGGTCCTGCCGCTGCACGGAGCGCTGACGGGTCGTCAGCGGATACGGCGGCGGCGTTGGGGGCGGGGCCAGGCTGCCAGCCCGGCTTCCCGCCCGAGCCGGCCCTCCGCGTCGGCCCTCCGCTCCCGCTCCGCCATGGCTCCCAAGGGCGCCGCCAAGCAGCAGTCCGAGGAGGATCTGCTCCTGCAAGACTTCAGCCGAAACTTGTCGGCCAAGTCCTCCGCGCTTTTCTTCGGGAACGCCTTTATCGTGTCGGCCATCCCCATCTGTGAGCGCCGGGGCTGGGCGGCCGCTTGGGTGGGCTGGGTGGGGACGTGGCAGGGCCGGGCGGAGCCGCGCGCGGGGCCCGGATCCCCGGCCCTGGCCTCGCCGGCTGAGCGCATGCAGCCGCCCGGGCGTCCGGGATGGAGAGGTGGTCGCGGGGGGCGGGCCGGGGGCGCCTTCCAAAGTGTGCACGCTCTCTGCTCCACGCCTGTAAATTTTGACTCACCGGGTTGGGATGGCCATGCGGAACCTACTTAAACAAGCACTCAGGGTGGTGCTCACACGCGTGTCGTCTGATGTCTGTCTGTTTGTTTCCCTATCCAACTGGTTGCCTGTTACCCAACCTCCAACTTAGATCATTATTTTGGAGAAACTGGTGAGTTGGGACACTGATGGCCCCATGCTAACTGTCCTTAATGACGCTTGACATTTTCCTAATTTGGGGAAGCGGGCGGGAAAGGGCTGGCCATTGTCAAGGGACATTGATGAATAGTATTTAATCGTTTTTATCTTTTCACAGTTCTGCAATGCCCACGTGAAGGGGAAAAGAGGTTAGCAGACCTAGTTGGCCAAGCTCTTTCAGAGCTCAGGGTTCACATTCTGTGGTGTGATTCTCAAACCACAGTGGGTTTGAGAGCTTGGAGCCCCTGAATTTCAGTCTGATATCTGCCCTCACATTACTACATTGATTTGGGCAGTGGAACCCAGGGGTGTTTTCTTTTTAAAAAAATTTTTTCCCAGGGGTATTTTCATTGTCCGCCTTGCAAAACGCTGCTGCCCTTTGGCTTGGGGGACTTCTGCAGCTTTCATTGTGGCTGTCAGTCCACGTCAGCATGCTAGCTTTGGTTTGAGACTGCACGTGGCGCTTTGGAATGGCCTGTATTTAACAGAAGACGCTGAAATATGAAGTTGGAATTGTGATTTTGTAGCTCCAGAATTTTCATGGTAGAAGAATCAGCAAGAAGTCTCAGCTGGACCAGGAATGCAAAAGTTACTTTTCTCAACTGTGGAAGTTTCACAGTTACATTTTCTTGTTTTTGTTTTACTGGATAGGTCACTTCTGAAGATCTTCAGACATTGCATCCGATTCCCAACCCTGATTGTATTTAACCAGGCTCCCCCCCAAAACAAACAAGCAAACAAACATATATCATGCAGTCGATTCTGACTCATAGTGATCCTATAGTACCGGGTAGAATCACCCCTGTGAGTCTGAGAATGTATTTCTTTACAGGAGTAGAAAGCCTCATCTTCCTCCCTTTGTGGCTGGTGGTTTCGAACTTTTGACCTTGTGGTTAGCCCAACTCATAACCCACACCAAGCTTAGAAATAATTAACTCAGGAGGTTTTTATAATTGGATGGTAATATTTTGTTCTTTTTTTGTCTTAATTCAGGGCTGTATTGGCGGATATGGCATATGGATCTTATCCAGTCGGCTGTTCTTTATAGTGTGATGACCCTAATAAGCACTTACTTGGTAGCCTTTGCGTACAAGAATGTAAAATTTGTTCTCAAGCACAAGTAAGTATATTTCTCAAGTGAGAGTATGTGATCATATAGTTCATTTTCCTGTAGTAAGATGTCTTTAGGATCGTGTGTGTTGATAACATTAAATAGCGTTTGAGAAAGATGTGTGTATATTTGTGAGGGAGACCTTCATGCTAATAAACATTGCAGATGAGTGAAGCACAGGTGATGGATGATCCCGCTACCATGGCTGTGGAAGTCTGTTTTGAGTGCGGAATTAGCAATGGCCTAATGCAAGGACAGAAAAACCCACCAAATCAATGAATATTTTGAAAGCCAGATGGAATTCCATCTGGAAAGAATTGTTCTGCACTCTCTAAAGTTCAGTCCCGAGGGAAAATGAGAAATAGTGTCTCAGAATGCCCTATCCTCAGGGGGGAACACTGCCATCCCGTCACTGCTGACTCGGTGGCCTGAAACTAAATGTTATCGGGAGAAGATGGCTTCACCTTTCTCCTAAGGAATGGATGGTGGGTTTGAACCACTGACCTTGTAGTTAGCCATCCAGGGTTCCAGTGTCTCCATGGGAAGCAAAACCCAATCAAAACCCACAGCCATCGAATTGATTCTGTCCCATAGTGATCCTACAGGGCAGGGGAGAGCTGCGCCTTAGCAAACAGCCTGGTCTTTCTTCTGAGGAGTGCCTGGTGGGCTTGGACTGCTGACTCTCCGGGGAGCAGCTCAATGTGGAATCCACTGTGCCACCAGGGCAGGACTCCTTGCCTCGTGGGGACTAACAAGGCAAACTCACTGCCTTGGGATCAATTCCGACTCATACCCCACAGGGCAGGTAGAACTGCCTCTTGGGTTTTCTAACACCATAGCTTTCTCCTGTGGAGCGGCTGGTGGTTTCAAACTGCTGGCCTTGCAGCTAGCAGCTCAATGTGTAACCCACTATGCCACAGTTTAATAGATAAAGGGGTCCTTTAAAGTTGCTTTAATGTATTTTTTTTTTCCTGACACTTGATTCAAGGTAGCAGGATCGTTCTCTGGTTCTCGGTGTGACCTTCTAAGTGCTCTTATTTCTTTGAAAGTACTTTCGTACAGCTGACTGGAATTCTGCTGAGATCCAAAGTGCCGGCTGGCTTTGTGTGTGCGCACAAGCTCTTCCCATATCCATAGTTTCCACTGTGCCTGGAAGACTGTCCAGGAAGAGTCGGGAGCACACCCTGTCTCGCGGTGTATGAAGGCACGGCACTGCTCCTTATGCCGTCCCTGTGACGTGCAGCTGGTGCCTGTTTGTATGGGAGGAAGAGCATGCTGCACTCATCTTTTTCTGATAATCATTATCCGGTCATTCCTTTACGTAATGACTCGTCAAGGTCGCATGTCTAATACATCAAAGTCAAATTCTAATACATCACGTCTAATACATCAAAGTCAAAGGCCCCTGTGTAGCAGCAAGCAGGTCACTTGCCTCACCTGTAAGGCTTAGACCTTGGCTCTTCTGACTCACTTTCATGGCATCCTTCGGACATGGCCCTCACCCCCGTAGAAACCCATGTTCGTTCTTGGCCTCAGTCGGTGCATGCCTGTTATTTTGAGCTCTAGGATCATTTCCAGAGAAGTCTCTCCCAGCTTGGATTCTTTCATTGCCTTGTACCTTTGTTAGGCTCTTGCTGGTGATGAGTACAAACTGAGCTTATCTCAGCTGATTTCTGCTGTCTTCCTGGGAAGCAAAACCAGTCGAAACCCACTGCCACTGACTTGGTAATGACCCATAGGCCAGTAGAATTACTCCTTTGGATTTCTGAAGCAGAATCTTTACGGACACTCCACAGCCTCTCACTGTCATTCTGGACACGACGCTGACTTGTGGGGTGGCAGTGGAGTGGTCTTCATAACCTTTGTTACCTTTCCCCGTGGCCATGGAGCGGTCATCATAACCTTTGTTACCTTTCCCCGTGGCTGCCCCTCCGTTGTCAGCTACCTTCCCAGAGCCCCGGCTCATCATGGCCTCTGCTGAGCTTTCTTGGGAGACCTGGCCATCTGTGCTTTGGGAATCCCTGAGGAGGCCCAAGAGACGGTCCTTTTGAATCTGGAGCAGGAGACACTGTGTGTGACCCTACTCTGATAGCTGTGCAGCTCCATCCCAAATGTTTTTCACTATTTGCATATCACTTTCGATTCATCTCTTTGAAATCAAAAGCTTTTTCACATTTCTCCATTAGGCTTCTTGAGGGCAGCAGCCGTGTCCGATTTTAAATCCCTTATGACAGTCAGTGGTACCCTGAGCTCACCGGCTTACTGGCCTAATAGGCTGCCTCAGATTCAGTCGGTTTTGGTTTGATATGAAATACGACATTGACATAGAAGCTCCTGCATATTTGCAAAATGACTCGGTGTCAGAGATACAATGGGATGTGTATGTGGGTCCATGCTGGGAGGAGAGGGATGTAGATGGCTTCAGATGGCGGCCTGTGTTTCTGTGCAGTTCTGCTGCTACCTGGATGGCTTTGGGCTGACAGCTTACCTGTCCAGGTTGTAGATTCCTGAGCTGCATTATGAGATGCTACTGGTACTTTATAGATAAAAAAAACTCACTGTCATCGAGTTAATGCTGACTCAGAGCGACCCCCTGTGGGTTTCTGAGACTGCAACTGTTTACTGGGGTAGAATGTCCAGTCTTCTGAGGAGCTGCTGGTGGTTTCGAACTGCTGACTGTAGCAGATTGCAGTCCACTGTGTGACCACTGCACCACCTCATATGGCATGTCAAGCATGGTGTTGTGTGCCGGTTGAGGAGGTTAAGGGGATCAGAGAGGGCCTTCAGGAATGTTTTTTTGAAAAAGCATGGCTTTAAACTTTATTTTTTGCCAAGTTACTTTTATTTTAAGTAATGAAATAGTATTTTTGTTTCCTTACTCTGGAGGGTCCTGGCATACTGATGTAAAAACAGGAAAGTCAAAGGAGAAACACAGCCAGTTGGGTTATCCACTTGGCTGAGGGCGAGAGTGCGGGGATGATTTGCCTTGTAGGAACTAGCACAGAGTGAGGTGTATTAGAGCCACCCAGATACAGAGGCGTGTAAGCTGCTGGTGAGGACTATTGAGAGTAGACTGCCCAAAGAGCAAACAACCTGCCCTAGAAGAGATACAGCCAGAATGCTCCTTAGAGGCAAGGATCTCATGTCACGTACGTCGGACCTGTTGTCTGGAGAGACCAGTTCCTGGACGAGGACGTCATGTTTGGTAGACTGGAGGGAGGGTGAACAAGAGGAAGGCCCAGGAGTTGGATGGACACAGTGGCACACTGAGCTTGTAATGCTGTGAGGACGGCACAGGACTGTGTGGTGTGCCATTCCGGTGTGTACACGGTTGCTTTTTGATGGCACTTAACAGTCAGATGAAGAAGAGGGCTTCCTCTTCTTGAGTTACAAATCAACGGACACCAAAGCCAACCCACCACCCCGTCACTGAGTCAGTGCGGACTTGTTTGGCCCCCGGAGGAGAGAGTAGGCTTGCTGGTTAGGGTTTTTAAGACTAAATCTTTAGGGGAGCAGACAGCCTCATGTTTCTCCCTTGGAGCAGCTTGTGTGTTTGAACCCCAGCCTTCTGGGTTAGTAGCGAAGCACTTAACCCACTGCACCACCAGGGCTCCTTCATAAATCTGCGGGGTGTGGGGGGAGCTTTGTTAGGAGATGGATATAGAATTAGAGACGTACAAGAAAACTTAGATCAGTGTTTGCTTCGCTCTCTTTTTCAGGAAGATTGCTCATGCGGACATAGGTTGACCAGTTGTCCTGAGTAAGCAGCGAGCTAGCCAACTCTTGGAGACAGTTTATTCTTGGGTCATAACACCCTGACAGTTGAGGGTGTGTGTGGGGGTGTGTATGAGTCATTTATTGCCATCGAGTATATTCCAACGTATTGCAATCCTATGTACGCTTGCTTATGTTAACTTTTTTCTTTTCAGCTAAGGAAAGTTTCTGTTCCTGTAACCCATTTCTTTCTTTTGTAGAAAAGAGTGGTCTGACGTTAAGTTCAATAAACACTTAACTACTTGGACTACCTGAAAGCCTAAGAGATAAGAGTCCTTGCTCTTCAGACCCCAGTGTCTCAGGAATGTCTTACATTGCTTCATTCCCCTAATAGGTCTCCCACTCCTCCCACTCCCCCAACCCCGCCCCCATAGCTTAAGAACTGGTTTTGTTTTTTCTTTAAAGTTTTTCTTTTCTGCACTTCTCAGTTTGTGTGGGATAATTTGTAACAAAGTTTACAAATTATTACTTGTAATAATTGTTCCAAAAATACACTCCTTAGAGTAGTCAGAAGGTTGTTTTATTAAATTGCTGTCAGTTTTCACTGTTCTTAGGAGCGAGATGGAGACGGAGGTGGGACCAAGCAGAGCTGTGCTTGTAACCCAGAAGCCCTTGCAGTTAAAGAACGCTTGAGAACAACTGCTTTGAGTGGTCTCTGGCTTTCCTTGCTCAACCTCCAGGTTCCCTCGCTTTCCTTGAGCGGGAGTGATGAACGAAAAGGCGCAGATTTCTGCCCCCACGGCCCTTTTTGTATGGCTCCCATCACCTTGGTGTCATGCCGCGTCGTTCTGGCACTCTGCAAGTTATTTCCGTCTTCCCACATTGATGGCCAGTTTCTCCTTATATTCTGAAAAAGTACCCTGCCGAGTTTCTACGTCATGCGGACTTTTGCTACTTCACTGTCGTTTAACTTTTATCCTCTTTCGTCGGTAAAATTATAAGACAAATTTCACCTATAGATTTTTGGATGAGCATACTTTTTATTATTTAAAAAAATCTGATGCTGGCACTGAAGACTCTGCTCTGGTGTCCTGGAAATCGCACAATTCCAACCTACTCTGCCTGATCCCGGTTTTGAGTGGCATCCTCATACATGGGTTTGTTTAACTAATCGTTGTATTCACGACTTTATGACTCTAATGAGTCTCCTTTGGGCTGGAGTTACAAGCATTACTTTAAGGCTTTACAGCTGTTCCTTCCCTCTTGTTTATGGAGCCTAATTTTCCTGCTATGTACCGGAATTGAGATCACGGATCATTTGCTAATACCTTGTGAGATCTCTTTGTTGAGCAGTCAAATTGTAGGTGTGAACAGTGGAGTGCTATGGTTCGTACTGACATTGTTCTAAGAGCACCTGACTAAGTACCTGACCTTGGGGACTTTCTCGCTCTTCAGCAGAAACCCCAACACCTAACTAATAAACCACTTCTTGGAAGCTTCCTGCGTTCCTCTCTTTTGGCTCGTTCGGTGTAATAAACTGGGGACTCTCTGTCCAGCTTCGTTTTTTGAAGTGGATGATACCCAGTTGCCAAGACAAAGTCGGAGGACAGAATGTTTCTGGGAGGGGGTGCCGTCCTGCCCCTCCGCCGTGAAAACAGCCTTCTTCTGTTCTTTCCCTTCCAGAGTGGCGCAAAAGAGGGAGGACGCCGTTTCCAAAGAAGTGACCCGGAAACTTTCTGAGGCAGACAACAGGAAGATGTCTCGGAAGGAGAAAGATGAAAGGTTAGCTTCCTTCCTCAAAGTGTTTGTGGTGATCAAAAAAAGAGGGGAAAAAAATAAACAAAAAAACCGAGGCTGGGGAGGGTGTTTTACTGTAGAGAAATGTAAGTAAACTTGCAGAATGTAGATCTGGGAATTGTCTAAGGTAAGCATCTGGTTGTAGAAGTCATAGGAAAGGGGATAAAAATAGCAAGTTCCCGAGTATTTAGTACTTCCAGGTACTTGTCTTTGAGCCGTACAGCTTACTTATGTATTTCTTTTCACAGCCCTGTTAGGTAGGCCCTCTTCTCCAGGGACTGAGATGTAGAAACTTGCCCAAGGCCAGCAGAGCCCGCTCCATTACAGATGCAGCCAGTTGAGAGCTCAAATCCTCAGTTGTTCTGTGGGGAGGAGGCAGTCTGCCCGTGACTGCAGTGCGACCTGGCACACATCTGACAGCTCCTCCGGGCCCTTGGAGGTGGTATCTTGCTGTGTGTTTGCATTGTTGCTTCTGAGCTCTCTTCTGGGACAGCTAGTTCTTGGTTGCAGGGAAAAGCAAAGAGCTGGGCTTCCTGTCACCTAATTTTGTACCACGTTTGTTAGTCCCCATCTGCCCTTCTTCCTGCCAGCTGCTGTTAGAGGCTTGATGATATCCCAGCAGCTGGAGCCCCCTGAGCAGTTGAGAAACTTACATTGAAGAGTTGCCAGTGAGTTCCAATAGTGATGAGTCCAGTCGTTTTCACGACTCTAAAGTGTTTGTGTCCACAAGGTGCTCCATGGAATGGCACTTTTTTATCCCATTTTGCTCCAGAAAGACTTGAGGGGGGCTTGACATCTTATTAAAGTGCATAGAAAACAGGAATACACACTCTTAGGAGCCAGGAGCCATTGAAGAGGAGGAAGAGATTGGCTGAAGGGGGCCCCCCCCGCGTGTCAGCAGCTGTCGAGCACTAAACTGTTCTGAGCTTTCAAGTGTCGGGATGCACCTGAGGTCATTCCGCCCTGGCGGGGCAACAGTCCCTTCTGAGAAGAAGCTTTCTTGGCACCGTGTCTTAGAAGAACTTTATGGAGTGGGTCTGTACTTCAGGGACACTCCGTAACAATGAACAGTGTCTTCTACAGTGGTTTGGGAAAGGCCCCAGAACACTCGTGGTTAGCCCCTGTGGAGTCCTCATAAAACTGAAGGCTTTATTTTTTTACAGTAGTATAAAAAAAAAATCACACGTTAGGTCTATTTGCAGAGCGCCGATTGACTGAGGTCTGGCTGCATAGTTTTCTGATTGCATTCTGTGTGTGTGGTTGGGGGGGAGTAGAGGTTTGAATCTAGAAGACCTTTGTAAACCCCCTCGCTGAACGGCAATACCTGAGTACCTGAGAGCGGAGGTTCAGACGCTGGAGTGCCCGTCTCAGTTACGCAAATTTCAGAAGGCTGTGACAGCCCTTACAGGATTGACAGATTAAATCTTAATTATTGACAAGGAATATATGAGTGCTTGAAAAAGTTTGTCGAAAACTTCCATGATCTTTTCATTCCATTTATTGCAACTTTCTGGTGCACTCTCCTACGTGGATCATACTGAACAGGGCTGGTCCCGCTCAGTGTTTGGGGAAGAGCAGCTTCTTGTCTTGGGGGAATGGACAGTGTGTTCAGATTTGAGCGGTGACTGCTTTCTGGTTTGGGGTGATTGCTTATGCCAGGGTTGGCAAGTGGGGCTCCTCTGCCCGTCACAGACATGCCTGGTTGGATGTAATACTTGATATGACCCTGGGATGTGCCCAGAGTCTTCATGGATGTGGGATGTAAATAGCCAGTCACTACCAGTGGATCAGAGTTGGAATTGGAAATGAAACCTCAGTGCTGTTCCCTGGATTAATAGTAGGGTGAGGTGGAAGGTTCTTGGGCCATAAATGTCATAGTGATTCTCAGAAGATTATAGAATTTCTCTTGTCATGGATGTTTGGGCTGTGAACCCAGACTTGGGAAGCTTTGGTCTCTTCACGCAGGCTCCTCGGGATGCCCTTGTAAGAGCTCTGCTCCTGCCTGACCCCTATCCCTTGGAACTGAACACTTCCCTTTACGATCTAGTCTGTTTCAGGTTGTTTTCAGGAGATTCTGTGCAAGAAAAGTAGAGCTTTGATCGGCTTGCTTCTGGTGTGGGATGTATCTTTCAAAGCTCCACTTAAAGGGTCACGTGGGATTTATGCTCTGTCCGGAATGGATGTAGGCAAACGTGAATCCAAGATTCATTAACCTTTGTCCTAGGTGTGAGTGGTATTTCTTCTCAATTTACCTACTGCCTTTTATTTAGCATCACCTGATTGTGACAGTGGCTGAGTTTAGTTCCTCGTGTCACAGACAGATCTCCCTGGAAACATGACTCTCAGAGAAGTACTCGCCCGAACTGGACAAACAGCCAGTGACGCCTGCTTGGTCAGAACCATTGTCAAAGAGGGCATCGAGGGCAAATGACCGGTTTGTGTGTGGGCTAGAAACATTGTGGAGACCTAAACTGTACACACCGATGGTAGCACATGTGCTGGGAGGTGGAACAGTGCAGAAGAGTGAGTTGTCTCATCAAAACCATGGTGCAGATGGCTCTGGGCCATGACAAGAAAGGAAGGCAGATGGGTGTGTAACATGTCCAGCCAGAAGAAGGCGAGTTAGTACCGTATTTAAGGAACCCCTTTGCACTGGGTCTCCGGCCAGCCTTACAGACAGGCAGTGGTTCTGAGTGTCTTCCAGTCTTAAACCCTCCGTGGGTTGCTGGGGGTGGTGATCAGGTCCCCTCAAGGCAGTTCCAACTCACAGCGACCGTGCAGCGGAGCGATGAACTTCCTGGCCCTGTTGGCAGCCATGGTGTCAGCCCATCTTGTCAAGAGTCTCCCTCTTTTTGCCGCCCCTCTACTCTACCAGGCAAGATGTCCTTCTCCGGGGACTAGTCTCTCCTGACAGCTTGTCCAAACTGCGCGAGCCAAAATCTCCCATCTCGCCCTGAAGGGGCGCTTTGACCGCACTTGTTCAAGACAGATGTGTGTGTGCGTTTGGCGGGCTGTGCTACTTTCAGTGTTTCGTCTGTGTTCCGGCCATGCCCAGGTCCTGACTCCTTTTTTAAATTGATTTTACATTTCGCAGAAAGCATGACATAGTCGATAATATACTTATTGTCACACCCCCTCCCGTGCAGATAAGGAAATCAGAGTATCATTAAGTTGACGATAGGTGGGTGTAGAATCAAGGGAATGTGGTGGCATATGAAGGGGG